GCCACAGCCCCCCCCGAGCCCCCCGACTTTGATTTATTCTTATTTATTTCTTGCAGGCGGCGCAGCCGAGGGTCTGCCGCTCCCCCTTTGATGGCCACTCTCCCGTGTGCGCTCCCATTTGTCCTGGGGACTGGGCTGATTTATCGCCCGCCCGCCTGCCGAGGAGCTTCTCCCCCGCTCCCCACGCAGTTCCCGCGGTGCCCGGGACTCCCCGAGGACGGCAAAGAGGGGAAGGGAGGGGGAAGGGGTGCTGAGGCTTTTCCTGGACGGGGAAGGGGGGGAGAAAAGGTACAAGGGGCTGCCAGGGCACCTCGCACGCTGGGGGAGAAGCAGCTGGAGAGGGCTCAGCCCCAGCCCTTTCTGCAGGGCCTGGGGTCACTGCTGCGGGGGGGGGGGGGGGGCAGCGAAGGGGAAGCAGATCGCAGTGCAGAGAGGGGAGTAGCGGGGGGGGCCCCCTCCGGCATCACCCGGCCGCCCCAGGCGTGCCGGGGCCCCCTGAGTCTCGTCCCGGTGGGGTGGAGGTGGGGGGCGGCGTGAGGCACCCCCAAGCTGCGGGGGGGGGATGTTAGGGGGGTGTCGGGCTTCCCAGCTCTGCTGTGGGCAAAGCCTTTGTCTGCTGCGTGGGCCCCGCCGAGACGCCCTGTGCGCAGCCAGGCTCAAGTTCTGCCACCCGCGGCCCCACGCGAGAACCCGGCAGCGAGCAGAGGGGGCTGTCGCAAAGCATCCACCTGCACCGGCACGGTCCCGGGTGACACGGCGAAACCCAAACTGCCCACGGCCCTTCACACTTTCTCGCATAGCCCAAGCGCGATTCACGAAGGAAACATCTTTTAGCAACACAGCCCGGCCTGAAAGTTCAGATTTTTGTAACAGCTTTGATTGGCGAGACCCGAATGAAACGGGAAGTAAACTTTCCACCAAGCCGTAAACATTTCGTCTGTGAGAAAACCAGGAATTAGCTGTACCATCTACGTATTTATAAATGTAAATCTAGCAATGACGAGGAGCTTCAAAATGCAGGAGACGTTTAGATCCTTTTGCAGGATCAGGAGCATCTCTGGCTGCTTTGCACGCGGAGTGATAAAGCTGGAAAAACGTAGAGTTTGTTTGTTTTGTTTTGTTTTGTTTTTTTAAAAAAGAAACCCCCCAAAAACCAACCAAACAAACAAAAACCACACTGAAATTGTTCAATAAGCTGACAAACAACAATGCAGGTATTTGTCATCCAAGGAATAGAGCTATTTGTCTTCAATATCTCATTAGTCAACAGAGGTTAAATAGCATGCCATTTAGTGCGTCCTCAAATCCAACCTACTTTCCTTTAAATATATCTGTGCAGAAATCTGTCCGTTCAGGAATTGTATTTGGATTATTTCTAAAATACAGGCGAGATGGCCTCTGATTCGGGAAGGGACCTGGGTCCCGTCCCCCCGCGCACAGTGGGGACATCACTAACACCATCGCCCCTCTTTGCTGGGAGAGGCTGCCCTGGTGGGGAACACGGTTGGTGGAGAAAAAAAAAAAAAAAAAGAAAGAAGGATAAAAAAAAAAAAAAAACAAAAAAAAAAAACAACACCCGGAATTTCGGTCCAGGATGAAACAAGCTCATTCTTGTCATCACGCCTGTTTGAATGGCACGGTGAGGAAAGTGCCTACGTAAAAGGGAAGTGATCCGCATTGTTGTGCAGATCTATTAACTCCCGGCGTGACCCCGGGAGCGGCGGCACTCGGCAGCCGCGCGGGAGAGGCACCGGCCGCCGGCGGGACCCTGCGCCGCAGCCCCCCCGCCCCGGCGCCCGCTCGCCATCCGTATTCTTCGATTAAGCACAACAAAACCCCGACGTTTCAATACGTGGATTTAATAAACGGCAAGACCGGTCCCACGGTAAAAACGTACACTTTGGAGAGACTTCCCGGAATATTTATTTTTTTGCTCTCGACTGCAAATCAACCAAATGCTCGAGACAATATCTGCTACAAACCAACCCAGCTAAAAAAATAACAGTGACCTGAACATGACGTGGTAGCGCACAAATGAACGACATTTTTTTTTTTTTCCCCCAGCAAGTACATTTTTCAAACATTAACAACGTGGGAAAAAAAATATTATTAACAACAATAATAATAATAATAAATAGGCGATTAGAGCAGAGGAGCGAGGAGTCGCCCAACACGCTTTGGAAACCGCAGCAGTTAGAATACAAATGCTATTTACCTTGTGATTTTCTCTGCCCGGGACTGGCTTTATTGTCCCTCCCTAGCCTTTCTCCGGGCGCAGGACCAGCCCAGCCGCAGCAACGCTCCCTCCGTGCCGGGCTTATTACTAACGGACGGGTGCTCGGAGAGATTTGGGGGGGCTGCATTCATTCTTACATTAGGACTATTTTAATTTGCAATCTGTCAGTCCATCTCTCCTGGCTGTGGCTCTGAGATGGCAGTGTGGCTGTGGCTCTCCCTCCTCTCTCTCCCTGCACAGCATTCACTCACGTTCAAGAGCAGCCAACAGAGACCAAAAAAAAAAAAAAAAAAAAAAAAAAAAAAAAAAAAAAGAACTAATTGAGCTTGTGTCGGTATTGGCTAATTTCTGCTAATACACTGTAAATTCCTCTTTTCCTCCTAACCTTCCCCCATGCAGGTTAGGTTTTCACAAAGCATCTCCGGAGATCCAAGAGCCAGGTTCTCAGCCCTGCTGCTGAGCTGATGGGTGCCTGGGCTTCAGTGTTAGTACCAGCGCCTCGATGTACACAATGAAAACCTTAACTCCTGGCTTCAGAAACGGTTAAATTGCCCTTTCCCAACCCCCACCCCCGTTATGATTGACTCTGTTTTTAAATTTGCACTTGTTCCCACCAAGCGCAATCTAACTCGTCCTGTCTCTAAAGTGAACTTGTGTTGAAGGTGAAGTTTTCAATATAGAGGTCATGACACCGAGCCACAGCTTACCGCTCCGAGCTTCATGCTGTATTAAACACAATCAAAACGAACCCCTTTTAGACCTATTTTTTTCTTTCTTTCTTTTTTCTTTTTTTCCCCTCCCGCAGATGAACAATGAGGAAAAAAAAAAAAATCTCTAAAATAGAATAAAATCAGCTCTGCCACGATAACCAACCCGTTCCTCCCGCTTCTGGGCTCGCTCTCCCCGAGGTCCCTACCTATAGAGAGGCGCCTACAGAGCCGGTTAGAAACACAAACACACACACACGCGTTTTAGTTATAGCTCTTCGGGGGCGATCTGGGGGTTGGGTGCCGGGGACAGCCCTCCCTGCCCCGCCGGAGAAGCGCCCGCCGCCCCGCGGGCTCCACTCGTGGGTGCCGCTGCCGCTCCCGCCGCCTGCCCGCTGCCCACGAAAGGGAAGGGACGAGTGAGCCACGCACCCGGGTGACCCCCAGAAACTCTCGGTCCCGCCTGTGCCTCCGCCGGGCGAGGGGGACTCGACACAATTACAGCTCCTCCACTTCAAAGCGGGGTTTTTCTCTATAGCGACTTCTAGCTGCCCCAAGACGGTAGGCTGCCTTCAGCTATTGTGCGATCTTTTTCATGCGAAAGATTTAGCAGGGAAAAAAAAAAAAAAAAAAAAAAAAAAAAAAGATATTAAAGCGCGTTATTTGTTGGGGAAACGCGGGTCCCTCCAGTGCGAAGGCACCCAGAGTCATGGGGTTGGAGCGCCCAGTCCAAACCCAGAAACTTTTTTTTTTTTTTTTTAACTTTAATGGATTTCAGTCTATGAAAAATAAGTTACAAATTCTTGCAACAGTAGCTTTGCATGTACTTATTTTTCTCCCATGTCCAGACGGGGTCGTCTATTGAATAAGGCTCTTTTATTCTGCATGGGGCAGGGGATTTGTGGCCATGGTCCCCCTTTTATTCCTCTCTCTATGGAAACCCAGATCATGGGGAGAAATATGCGAGGCTGAATAAAGAAAAGCAGCAGAAAGGACCGCTTGAGAGCGGCATCTGTTACACTTGGGAAGTTAGACTGACAGGAAAGAGCTAAAGAAACCCTCTCCAGCAGATTAGTTAGAACAGCAAGAAGATTTAACTATATGCAGATAAAAACACTCTAAAATACACCATACTCTCCTATAGGCGAGATGAGAGGCTACTCTCGTCAGGAGCGGAGTGCCGCGGAGCCGGGCTCTGCCTTAGATACATTTACAACAAATATTAAAATGGGACGTTCGGGGTTTTATTTCCCTGCTAGAGACTCTGCCTTAATTAAACGGCGGATCTGAACATCTATTTTCACGGGCAATGGGATTTGAAAAATCGTTTCGGAAGTTAAAGTGCAAATTCATTTTAAATAATTTAGTTACGTTTTTATACAGTGAAGCTTTTTTTATTTTTTTTTTTTTTACTTCCGCCGGCTCCGGTGATATTTATTTCGGGCAACTTGTGAAGGAGGAGAGGGGGGGGGGGAAGGGGGGGGAGAAGAGGAAAGAAAGGGGAAGAAAAAAAAAAAAAAAAAGAAGAAGAAGCAAGCGGGCTGCTAATATAACTCTTTCTCGGCCCTCCCCGCCTTCCCCCGCGCCTCCGGCGGGCTCGGCCGCGCTGCCCAGTGCCGCTGCTCCGCCCGCAGAGCCCGCCGCCAGAACCGGGGCTCCCCCCGAGGCATCTGTCACCTCCTGACCCCCCCCACTCCCACCGCCGCTCGCACCCCCCCCCCCTTGCTTCCCCACTACCTGCAAACTTTAGTTTTTATTTATTTCCCAAGTTGCCTCCCCCCCACCCCCGCCCCAGCCTCCCGGGGATGCGGCCGGCGCGGAGCCGGCGCGGGTGCGCAGCGCAGCGGCCGCCCGCCGGGGACCCGCAGCCTCCGCGATATATCGCGATTTGCCTCCAGCCACGCAGCCCGCTCTGCATTTTAACGGCCAGCCCTGCCTTTGCCCCCTCTCACACGCTGCGCCCTGCCCGAGCCCCGGCGAGAAATTATTGTGATGATTATTATTATAATGAGGAAAGAGATGCTACCCGGCTATAAAGGAATGAGAGGAGCGCTCACCTTATTTATATCTATTTTCTCATTTTCTTGAATTTTCTTCAGATCTGTCTTCTCAGAGAAACTAATGCCTTAATGACTTTCTGGTAGCTGCAAGCCTTCTTTTATTTCTGCTAAATATATGAAAATGTATGCAAATTTAAATCAAGCTTAACCTAGGAGCTCTTGCAATATATTTAATGGAATTTCAAACCAATAAGGGAACTCTGATGCAGTCTTCTGTAAGTGCAAATATAATTACGCAGCTAGGTTACCTCCAAAATTATGCAGGGAAAGGTCATTTTTTAACTCGGGAGCGGTTCGGAGGTACCAGGGGTTTGGCTCTCCCCGCCGGAGCGTCCCGACCCCCGCCGAGGGACCCCGCTGCCGCCCCGGCGGGGCTCCGCGGGTGCGGGGCGGCTCCGCGGGTGCGGAGCGGCAGCGGCGGGGCTCTGCCAGACGGGCCAGAGCCGGCCGGGGGACACAGAGCTGCTCCCCCCGACCCCTCGGTGGGGCCTGGGGACCGCGGGCGCTTTTTCCCCCTTTATTTTTCCTTTCTCCCGTTTTCTTTTTTTTTTTTTTTTTGATTTTTTATTTATTTTATTTTCCCCCTGCAGACCGCACGCCGGGCGCGCACCGGTCCCGCATCGCGCCCGTTGCGTTTCGCCTCGCAAACTTTAAGGACGCACCACCGGGATTTACTGACGGCGAGGTCGGAAAGCGCCTTTTGGGGGCTTTTTTTTATTATTATTATTTAGGGGGGGGGGGGGTGGTGGTGTTTTTTTTGTTGTTTTTTGTTGGTTTGGTTTTTTTTTTAAGTTTTCGCTCCCCAGCGAGCACCGCGGGAGCGCACGGCCCGGGGCGGGCGGGAGACGCGCTGTTCTGAGCGGAGCGGGGCGGGCGGCGGGCCCGGAGCGGCGCGGGCCCCGGGGGCGCGGCGGGGGCCGGGCGGCTCCGCGCCGGGGTGGTCCCGCCGGGCTGCCGCCGGGGCGCCGCCGTTTAACCTCTGCCGCGCGCTCCTCCGGCGCTAATCGCTCCCCATTTAAGCCGTGCCCCGCGTCTCCCCCCCCCCCCCCCCCCCAACACCTCCCTCCCCGCCGGGCGCGGAGCGCGGCGCGGAAGGAGTTAAGCGACGGGGGGCCGCCTCGCGCCCGGCCCCCGGTGCCGGCGGAGTGATTCACTTCCTGCCTCCGGCCCGCGCGGCTCCCGGCGCCCTCGCCCCGCCCTCCCCGCCGCCGCCGCCGGCCTCCTCGTCCCTCCCATTGGCCCGCGCGGCGCGGCCCCGCCGGCGGCGCGCCCCCATTGGGCGGCGCGGCTGCCAGTCGGCGGTCGGCCGCTGCCCGGGCCGCCGTGCCGGTGGATGTCAAAGGCTGAAGCGGCGGCGCCGCCACAGTATAACTCGTGGGGGCTGCGCGGCGGCCATGGCCACAGCCGCCTCCAACCCCTACAGCCTGCTCGGCTCCACCTCGCTCGCCCATGCGGACGGCGCGGGCATGCAGCAGGGGAGCCCCTTCCGCAACCCGCAGAAGCTGCTGCAGAGCGAGTACCTGCAGGGCGTCCCCGGCAATGGGCACCCGCTGGGGCACCACTGGGTCACCAGCCTGAGCGACGGCGGGCCCTGGCCCTCGGCGCTGGCCGGTGGCCCGCTGGAGCAGCCCGACGTCAAGCCGGGCCGCGAGGACCTGCAGCTGGGCGCCATCATCCACCACCGCTCGCCCCACGTCTCCCACCACTCGCCCCACGCCAACCACCCCAGCGCCTGGGGGGCCAGCCCGGCCCACAGCGCCTCGCTGGGCCCCCCCTCCGCCGCCGCAGCCGCCGGGCAGCCCCTCAACGTCTACTCGCAGGCCGGTTTCGCGGTGGGCGGCATGCTGGAGCACGGCGGGCTGACCCCGCCGCCCGCCGCCGCCGCCGCCGCCGCGCAGGGCTTGCACCCGGGGCTGCGGGGCGAGGGCGGCGGGGAGCACGGCGAGCTGGGCGGGCACCACTGCCAGGACCACTCGGATGAGGAGACGCCGACCTCGGACGAGCTGGAGCAGTTCGCCAAGCAGTTCAAGCAGCGGCGCATCAAGCTGGGCTTCACCCAGGCCGACGTGGGCTTGGCCCTGGGGACCCTCTACGGCAACGTCTTCTCGCAGACCACCATCTGCCGCTTCGAGGCCCTGCAGCTCAGCTTCAAGAACATGTGCAAGCTGAAGCCGCTGCTGAACAAGTGGCTGGAGGAGGCCGACTCCTCCACCGGCAGCCCCACCAGCATCGACAAGATCGCGGCGCAGGGGAGGAAGAGGAAGAAGCGGACCTCCATCGAGGTGAGTGTCAAGGGCGTGCTGGAAACGCACTTTCTCAAGTGTCCCAAGCCGGCCGCCCAGGAGATCTCCTCGCTGGCAGACAGCCTGCAGCTGGAGAAGGAGGTGGTGCGGGTCTGGTTCTGCAACCGGCGGCAGAAGGAGAAGCGCATGACCCCGCCGGGCGAGCAGCCGCAGCACGAGGTCTACTCCCACGGCGTGAAAACGGACACGGCCTGCCACGACCTCTGACCGGGGCTTGGTCGCGCAGGCAGGACTGCGGGCAGCGCGGATTTTCCGCCGGGGCTTTAACTTATGGTTTCCGAGAGGCGGGAGACGTGGAGCCGGGGCTCCCCGCTCGCCGCCGCCGCCTGGGCAATATTTTTTCTCTCTCCGACCTTTCCGCTGATCAGTACGCGGTGTTTACTCGCAGACAAGGTTTGTTTTCGGTCTCCGCTAGGACGAAGGAAAAAAAAAAAAAAAAGGAAAAAAAAAAAAAAAAAGAAAACCCACGGGAAAAAGAAAAAAAAAAAAAAAAAGAAAAAAACGACAGAAAAGGAAAGACAGATGTGTGCCTATGAATAACCTTCCAGCGCCTTGGTTATATCAGCTGTATTTCAGGTGAATCTGTTTTACAATAGACTAGTTTTGCATTTTTAAAGACTTATATAGCGTTTTTAAATGTCTGAGGTGTTTTACTACAAACTGTACACAATATTTGTGACCTAATTTGTATCGAATTGATCAGTCAAAACGGTTCTCCCTTCCCCACGCACCGGCAATGTCACCCAGCAGGGACGGGGCAGGGCGGCCGCGGCCCTTACCCGGCCCTAGCCCCCCCCCCCCCCCCCGAGGAGACGGGGTTCCCCTCCGCGCCCGCGGAGCCCCGCGCACCCGGCTGCCGCACGCACGGTTGTGAACAATGGGCTTATTTGTTGCAGCTTTTCTCTTCCTTTTCAAGAACTTCCCAACACCGTAAAACGGTCGGGTTACAATCCTGACCTCACCCCTCTTCTCCCAAGGAAGAAAAAAAAAAAAGAAAAAAAATTCTAAGAGATTTGTCCGAAATTAAGCTTCACAAACAAAACCGTGGCATTGGCCAGTCTTTTTCTTTCCGAAGATGAGTTGGGCTTTTTGATCAGCGCCAGACTGAGAGGTCTGTAGTAAAACACCTTTATACTTCTGCGCTTCGGCTTCGGAAATCAGTTTCTCTGTATTTTGTTTCGATAGTGAAGAGGAATGAGGGGTCTCATGAATTTGGGGGGGGGGGGGGGGGGGCGGGAAGGGGACAGAAAACGCCCGCATTTGGTTCACGCTGAGCTTATTTCTGCGTCACAGGGAGATGCTGGATTTGTTGAAAAGCTTTTATATAAAAAAGAAAACCAAAACGAACAGGGAGAAAAACAAAACGAACAAAGAAAAAGTCACTAAAATGCTAAAACCATAACCATTTTTTCGGCACAGGGAAGTGCTGAGCTGTAACCGCCCCCTCTCCTCCGCCCGTCCGTGGATGTGTTGTACACAAGGACGGCGTGTGCAACGCCCACGCAGCCGCTCACGAAGGGACATCGCTGCGTGTGCGTGTGCGTGTACACGGCCAAGTTCACTCGCTGCCCCCGCGGCCGGGCGGGCTCGGGGCCGCCGGGCAGGGCCGGGCCGGGCTCCCCCCGGGCTCCCCCCGCGCTCCGGGGCCCCCCCCAGGGCCGGGCCGGCCCTGCTCCGCGGCTGCGGCCCCGCTCCGTGGCTCCCCGCACAGCCCCTCTCCCTCCCCGGCATTCAGATTTTTTCCTTTCGACATTTATATTTTTCAAGTATTTTTCAGTAAGCGCTAAAAAAAATTAAAAAATAAAAAAAAAATAATAAATAAAAAAAAATAAACAAAACTCGACACTGAGGACCTGCCTATTTCTGCCAACTTTATAACTGTACAGTTTTGTATATTAAACGTTTTTTGGAAGTTATTAATTTAAAGAAAGATCATTTAGTTTATTCATTTAGTAACTGATGTATAATAAACGCTATTTTCATTAAAGGTTGCTTTTTTCAACTATTTTATCCAAAATTGCCTATTGCAGTTGCCAACAATTATTTATTTTCAATAAATTCCGCATTATGTTTAAAAAAAAAAAAGGAAAAAAAAAACGTTTCAGAAAGAAAGAAAAAAAAAAAAAGCCTAAATGGGTGTCGAAAAAAAAAATAATAACGAAACACACGAGTCACTGTAACGTTTGATTGTCGACCAGTTTTAGTCAAGGGGTTTATATTGACGCAATATTTTATTGTTGTAAAAGGAGAAAAAAAATTAAAAAAGGTTTAAATAAACATTTTTACAAAAAAAAAAAAAAAAAAAAAAAAAAAAAGAGATATTAAAAATTACGTTGCGTTGTTTGTGCGCTGGCCGAACCGGGGGTGCGGGCAATGGGGGCTCCGCGGCCAGGCCTGGCCGGGCCCCCCCTCCCCGGGCAGCGCCGGGTCCCGCCGGGGGGATTGGGGGGGCCGGGCCCGGCCGGGTTACACCTGCCGCAGGGCCGCGGAAAATGCACTTTTTGGGGTGGAAAAGGAGGTTCGGCGGCTTTTTCGGGGGCGAGCGGGCCGCGCTGGGCAGGACGCGCCGCTACGTATAGCTATAGTAAAATATTGGGGGGTGTGTGTATATATATCTATCTGTGTGTGTATATATAGAATGTGTATCAGTGTGCGGTGCAGGCGGCAGCAGCGCTGCCTCCGCCTCGCCTCCAGCGCTCCGCGGATCTGCGCACCCGCGCTGCAGCCGCCTCCGTCCCTCCCTCCCGGCTTCCCCGCAGCCGCCGGGGACCCGGCTTGGGGTTCCCCCCCCGCCCCCGCTCCACCCCGAGCAGCAGGAATCGGGGCACGGAGGAAGTTTCTTTTGTTCCATCCTTCCCTCCGCGGGCTGCCGCCACCGGGAGCGGAGGGGCCGCGGGGGCCGGGCCGGGCCGTGGCTCCTTCGCCCCGACCCCCCCGCCCCGGGCCGCCCCCCGCTCCTCCTGGGCGGGAAGTGGCGCGTTGGGGAGGAACAATACCAGTTAATCACATCTAATGGGGTGAAACGGGGGAAGCTCCAGCCCCGGCAGCCGGGCTGGGCGAAAGGAGGAGGATGGGTGCTGGGGGCGGGGGGGGGGGTAGGCAGAAAGGAGCAAACTTCACGGCATCACCGGCGAAATGGCCTTTTATTTTTCTCTTTCCCCGATTCTGAAGCTGAACCTTGGATAAAACAATAACCAACCCTCCTGTAAATGGTTTAGGGGTGGGGAAAATTACCTTTAGGAGTCCTGAGAAGCAACCCGAGCAAGGAGCGAGCTCTCTTGTCTTTAATAACCCAGCAGGAGCACAAGTGGACAGGCACCTTCCTGCGCTGGCTACAACAAACAAGCAGTCCTGTACCTGTTAGAGAGAGGGATTTGGGATGTAAATAGCAGGCGATGCTTTGTTTCTTAACCATACATCTGATTTATCTTTTTGTAAATCTTTGCAAGCGCAGAGACCACGGTCCTGGGGGCAACGGGCCTGTGTCAGCCCCTGTGCTGGGCCGGCAAAGCCCGGCTGCCTCCACAGCGGGACGACAACCTGCAGCTGTTTTGGGAAGGACTACAACAGAAGGAGAGAGAAATATTCCCCCCCACCAATCACTTTTCTCAGCCTGCTCCAGAAACAAAATAAATGTGCACCAAATAGTGTGGGTACCAAACCAGGAGTAAATGGCCGTGGTTTGTAAACAGCTCCAACTGAGGACACGGAGGAAAAGCTTCACGTTAAAACATACCCTACGTGGTCACACTGGCTTTTAACATTTGGGGTCCTGAGAAGTAAAGCTCTTAAAAGCAGCATTGGTTTAGAGGAAGGACAGAAAGCGTTTCACTGTTTTAGAGCCCTTTGGCTGTTCTGTAAATACAACTACAGCAAGGGCTGGGTTATGTGTTATTTTAAAACAAATCATGTTAAGAGACAAAAGAGATGCAATGAAAGAAGAAATCAAGTGAGTTTCTAAACAGAAGTACTTCAAAGACTACTTGAAAGTTGGAAAAAATAGGGAAGGAGAATTTCATTTAAAGAAAAGAAAATCTCTGCTTGCTATTGCCCATATATTTCAGTATTCCTGTGAGCAAAAGAAAACTCTTTTGTGCCACCTAATGTTAAGTACAGATCACTGTTGTCTTCTTTGCTGCCCATCATACATCATGTGCCTGGGGACACCTCGGGGTGCTGAGCTCATCTGGGCAGAGTGGTGTGGCTGGGGATGCTCAGCATCCAAAAGTCCCACCAAACCAAGGGCAGGAAAAGAAACTTCAGCTTCACAGTTATGGACCAGGTTATTTTCTGAATTTAGGAAATTATTTAAAAAAGAACTCAAGAGGGAGTGGAAAGAAGCATGGGGTATAATCATAAGAATGAGAGAATCCAAATTTGGTCCTTGTTATAATAAAATAAATCCAGAACAAGGATATCCAGGCTTTACATGAGCTGCTCACCATCAAGCATCTATCTTGGCAGCCTCTGCAAACCTCTGGAGAGCTTCTCCCACCACTCTTCTTAGAGGGCCGAAGTGGCCTTGCCTTTGCACACACACGTGTCTCCCAGAATGAAGAATTTATGGTGTGTACTTAGCAGCCGTTCACACTAATGGAAGATACTAATTCAGTACTGAAATATCTCACACAGTCCTTTAAAGAAGAAGGGGTTGAAAGAAAGCATTTCTCTGATAACAATGAATTACACCACTTTTGTTATTTTAATGGAGAGTGTTAAACACCTTTAACAATTTTTGAGGCTGAATTTCCTTTGATTTTTATGTTATATGAAACCTGATGCTTCCTTCATATTTAAATTTCAAATATTCTCAAGCTGTGCTCTCCTCCCCTCTAGAGAGGGCCAGGATCACAGGAGGGGGTTCACTTGAAACCAAAATTTACTACAAGTAATCAGAGATACTGTCTTGCTTCATATCGATCATTCAGAATACGAACCAGTCAATCTGCACCTGGGCCACATTTGACCAAAATGCTTTTAAAATCCCTCAAAACTAAGTATTTTGAGTTTTTCTTTCTTTGCTTTCAAGTAGCAATTCCATAGGTTCAGACAGAGCACCTGGTCCTATTGGGGCTGCATTGATGTGCCAAAATAGCCACTGATTTTTAGGGTAGCTCCACATGTAGATGGAGGCACATTTAAAACCTAAATCCTTCTCCCAATAGCTGGAGAGCATGCAGGGCTGTGGGGGGAATGCCCTTCAGACAAGGGTCCAATCCCAAAACCCAGACACAATTCATCATTTTACTCACCCGAGCAGTTTCTATGTAATTCACTGAGCTCCTCCATGCAAATGAAATTATTATTTTGTGCCCCTGCGTGATCCCATTCAAGGCTCCATCCTAGAAGAAATGTATATACAAGATTTTAGGCAAGTGATGGGTCCCGCTGAGTATCCCCAAAAACGCTCACAGAGATCAGGGCCTACACTCGTACTCACTTTCCCCGTTTTCTAGCATCCTGTAACCAATAGACTGGAAAGGCTCCGCAGCAATTACATATTTAGGATATGTGATAGCTGCAGTTAAGATCTTTATGACTGATTGCAGGATAAAATTTACTTCAAATGTGCAAGAGCCCCTTTCTAAACCCCAGTTTTTCAGCTGCTTTCCATTATATATATTTTGAAGAATCAAAAGCAATTAGAGCATACAAAGTCTAAATGGTAAATAATTTCCAAATCAAAACCTTTATTAAAGCAATAAGCATCTATTTTTGTTAATGCTGTAAGATATGGAAAGGGCCAAACTAAATAACTTTTGTTTTAACATATTGAGAAGCAAACCAGACTTCTATGCTGAGGACCTTATGAAATCTCACCCCAAGTTGATTTTTGGTTGAGTTTTTAAGATTCAGGAAAGCAGGTCAAACAACAGGATTTAAAACTACCATTTTACATGGTGGTGATGTGAATGGTGCCGTGGTTTACACACGTTTGTGAAGGGATTTGTCTGTGGATCTGTGGCTTGCTGATTCACAGCGATCACTGCGTGCTATACTGGCTTGTAAATATTTGTAGAATCACGTCCTTAATTAAAATGGTAAAACAGTATTAAATCTTGGAAGGGGAGAGAAAGAGGAGTGCGAGGAAGAGCTGTCATTGGTAAGAGCCTGTCAACAATAAGTTAAAAAGCTAATGGTAAATATAATTTCTGCCGGCTCCAGTTTTGCGGTGCTATCGATCGTTGGGTCCTGGCTCTGAAGCTCCATGCGGCTCCTGATCAATGTTGTGCCAGCACCGAGCAGTGCTGAAACGACACCAAGGAGGCTGCTGCTGCAAAAGTATTTTTTAAAATGTGAATATTTCAAACAGTGACTGTGAGAAGCTGGGCAGCAGCCCTTCTCACCCCTAGCACTATTAAGGAACCGCAAATGCTCTTCCATTATTCTGCCAATGGATTTAATTTTATTTTTTTAAAATTATGCCAGTCCTTGATTTCTGTGCCTCAAGTACAAATAATATTTACCCAACTTAGAAACGCCATTTCTGAACCAAAGTTATTTTATTTTTTGGCCAAAGCATGAAGTTTTGTTTTGCATATTTATCTTTAGACTTTGGGAAGGAAATAAATAATATAAAATAATATAACATAAAATAACATAAAAAAAAAAAAAAATAAAAATAATAAAATAAAATAAAATAAAATAAAATAAAATAAAATAAAATAAAATAAAATAAAATAAAATAAAATAAAATAAAATAAAATAAAATAAAATAAAATAAAATAAAAAATAAAATGTCTGCAGATCTTACTCACCAGAAAGTGGCGCTGGGGGGAATGACAATGTCTGAACTCCTCCTGCCATGTCGGCTGGAGTGCAAATGGAGGTAACATGAGCTGCTCCTCGTTCAGGGTTTGTACTTCTGTCTAGATTATGGGATTAATCTCTGTTACATCTATCTACAGCTAGGAACTTGTGATCCAGTTAAAGCAGCTTGAAAGGCGCCCAGCAGGTGCTGGGGGTCTGACTCTGCAGCACAAATTCTGTGCAGCTCCTGGGGAAAAGCAGGGGCTGGCCTTGTGCAGGGCTTTCTGAGGCTCTGTGCTGGAGGGGGAAAAAGGAAAAAAATCAAAATCCTGCCAGAAAACACTTGCAGAC